GTTACAGTGTGTTGTGTTAAATGGAATCCTTATTATTCATCAATATTATTGTGTTATACTCTGGGACTTCGAAGTTTTGCCTTTCCCTTTTCCTTGGTCACAAAGTATAACAGTCTTCTATTTTTTAAAATAATTTGTTCACATTTATTATGTCTTTAATTCTCCCAGAGTCCAGTCTTGTATGAGGCGTAGAATTGTTAAAATATGGTAATTATTTTTTTTAAATATGGTAATTATAGGATTCAAGCCTTGATGTATCAGTTTCGGAGAGGGAGATACTAAACTCTTCAGTTACAATTATGCATCTATCTATTCCTCTCAGCAGTTCTGTCTTAAGACTATATAATTAAGTGCAACTATATGTTTGCCTGTTGTTTCTTTTATGAAACAACAGGCAAACATATATATAATTACTTTTTATCACTTATCTTATCTGTCTAAAATTTCTTTTTGACAGAATTAAGATCACAACTCAGTTCATATTTTCCTCATGTATCTCTTTTCATCTTTTTTATTTTTAATCTTTCTGTCCTTTTATGTTTTAAGTGCATCTCTTATAGCCAATTTATTGTTGGATATAATTTTTATAAAAATTCAATTGGTGAGATTAACTTATTTGCATTTAATGTAATTCATATATATTAAGATTTAGTCCCACCATCCACTCACTATGCATTCCTTTTTATTTTTTATTTCCATTTCTACCTTCCATTAGCAAGGCTGAATTTTCTTCCACAGGTTTAAATTTTATATATAATATTATATTACTTATGGTAGTAGCCACTGACTTCAGACTCATACCCATGGGTTTAAGAGTTCCTCCATCTTAATAGCTTGAACAAAAGCCTAAATAGAAGTTCCAAGCTTGACACTCAAAGATCTGATGTGTCATGTGCTCATGGTGATCCAATCACTGTTGCTGAGACAGAGGGTACGTGATCTAAAGGAAACACAGGGCACCGTTACAAAAGGAAGAATGGAGCCTGGGAGACCGCAGAACAATGTATATCCACTTCTTCATACTAAATCAACTTCTTCAAGCCTCATTTTCTTCATCTGTGAAGAGTGATAATACATATCTCAAAGGGGTAATATGAGGAGCAAATTGGGTAATAGATATGAATCGTATCTCTTGTGAATCATAAAGTGCTACACACAGATTAGTTGTGATTTTTTGCTCTTGTATTTCTCACATGGTATCTTTTGTTTATCTGTATGTATTTGTATTTATTGCTATTGTATGTCTGTATTTATTGTTGGCACTTATCTGTATTGCTATATGGAAAGTGCCATTCTAGCCAGCACTCTTCCTAAAGTGTGCCAATGCCTGTAGAAGTGATTTTTTCTTTCCAGAGAACAATGAATAGGATGTCAGGATGGTGTTTGACTGGAGTACATTTCCATCCAAAGATGAAAGTTTCAGAGCAGGTTAATCTGCTAGTAAACACCTGAAAGTTTGGTGCAATGGTGCCAAACTGGGCGCTGGTTCTTTCTCTACCTCATATTAGATGTGTGGCCTTAGGCAGATCAGTAAACTCTCTGAATCCGAGAAATGGAGGTCACAAGAAGACCTACCTCTTAAAGTTGTGTTAGGATTAGTTGTGGTTATATGTAAAATGCCCTGGTCTTAGAGAAAATCTTAAGCTTGTGAGACACATACTCAAATCTCTTTACTGAGTACTTATTAATTTCCATTCTGCTACATTATGGCTAGGTTGAGTGCAGGTTCTTTCTCATCTCTGAAGTACACTGAATTGCTCTTTTTTCTTAGAGAACAACTGTTGTTTCCCTCAAGGCTCTATGTCTTCAGAATTTGGGCCAGCGGAATAGAGTCTCACAAGAGATCCTGTTTGTTATGCAACTGAAGTTGATAATTCTAATTTTTTTCACATATGAAGATTTAGATTCACACTAGACTGAAAGTGTATACCTACTACGTTTACTGGACTAGGCTCTTCTACTATATGATTGCTCATAAACCTATAATAATCCCATGAATCAGGTACCAATCCCTGTTTTACTGACAAGGAAATACTGACAAGGCTCTGAATACCCTGTTTTACTGACAAGGAAATAGAAGTTCACATAAATTAAGTAACTTGACCAAGGTGACATAGTTGAGAAGGAGAAGGGAGACAGTCTAGAGTAATGTAAGGAATATGGGATTGGAGTCAGGAAGATCTAAATTAGGACCCCAGCAGTGCCATATACTAGGTCTTAAATTTGAAACAGTGACCTAATTTCTTAAATCTCAGTCTCTTCAGTAGGGATTAGAATACCTACCTCATGTAAGTATTGTGAGGTTGAACTGAGAGAATATTTGTAAAGCAGAGTGCCTGGCACATGGTAGGTGCTCTGTAAATCCTTAGGTACCTGATAAGTGTATTGGGAACCCAGAGCCCATGGAGCTCACCTATAGTGCTATTTTAGAGGGAACTTCAATCAGCATCAAGCTTCTTTAGAACATTTGAAGAGACATTCAAATGAGGCAGTGAGATATAGTGAAAGGAGCCCAGGCATGGGAGTCTAGAGACCTGGATTTGGTGCTGGCTCTTATTTAGCATGTATCTGACTTTGGGCAAGGAAACTGAGCCTCAGTTTCCATATTTGTAAAATAGATGCAATATTCTTTGCCTCACGGGGTTGCTGGACTTACAAATGCACGTGGGTACAAATACTCTTTCTAGTCTTAGAAATGCTGTATAAATATAAGGGCTCTCAATTTGTGTTTACTATTCTCAGAGAGAGAGTAAACAGAACTCAAGATAACCTGGTGTCTGCCTCCTAGGGAACAACTATTGGGGAGCCTGACCCTTAAGTGAGGCCTGATTAACTATTTGCCACCACTGCTGCTGTGGCTGCCGCTTGTGCTCAAACACCAGTCATCGTGCCTGCTAAATCCTCAGCTCTGAGGAAAAGCAGCACTGTGCAATACATCGACCCCTTCCCCAAACCCTGCCTCCCATGACTTTTTGGATGAGGACTGGGAGTCTGGCCCAAAGAGAAACAACCCATGAGCTTGTCAGTGACCTACAAATGTAGTCTGCCTCCTAAAAAATGAGATGGACAAATCAATATTTCTCTCTCAGGAATCTGAGTTGGGAAATAAGAGGTGATTGAAGCAATTAACAATAAAAACTATGACTAAAGGGTTGCAAAGAGGCCATGAGGTTGAGTAGGGGTCCATGTGAGAGAAGAAGGCATCTAGGTTGTGACAAATCAAAGTGATGAGGAAGCAGAAATTATGAGTAAGCAGAAGCTATAAAGTAGAAAATGATAATATATGTTTATTCAACAAATGTTTCTAGGGTTCCTTCTATGAACAAGGCACTGTGTTGGGCTCTGAATACCCAAAAATGACTAAGACACTGTACTTCACTGGCTTCACTGCAGATTTTAGTGGGGAAGAGAGACAAAATAAGTAAATAAACCAGTAATTAGAAATTGTTTTAAGGACTAAAAAGAAAACAAATATGAAGCTAAGATAGAACATACCAGGAAGGGAGCCACTTAAGAAATAGCACCATATGGGAAGTTCTCGCAGAACAGATTATTAAGGTGAGACATAAAGAATGAGAGGAGCCAGGGAGAAAAATATTTGAGGTGGAGGATAAGTAATGTTGACTGACAGGAAAGGGTTTATCATGTTCAAGGAAGCTGAGAAACAGAAAACAAAACAAAACAAGCCAGGTTGCTGAAGGAAGGTGAAGGAAAGGGAACAACATGAGATGAGTTTGGAGGGGTAAGCAGGAGGCATGTCCCAGAACCCAGCAGACCTGTGTATGGAGTTGGGAGTTTAGTTCCAGTGAATTTAGTCCCAGGTAGAAGTCACTCAAGTGTCAAGTCACTCAAGTTCCCGTGAGAAACCATTGGAAGTATTCGAGGCTGAGTAACACCATCCAATAGAATGTGTAGATAAGCTTGAGGCTAAAGAGTCACTCCAGGTTCAAACCTGCATTCTCCATTTACCAGCTGTGTGACCTTGGGCACATTACTTAACCTCTCTGTGCCCCAGTTTCCTTTTCTATAAAATTAAAGGTAGAATTGGGTTTCACCTCATAGGATCATTATGAAGATTAAATATGTATAAAGTGCTTACAGCAGTTCCTGGGCACATAATACACACCCAATAAATGTAAGTTTGTATTGTTATTTTGTTTACAAAAAGGTCATGGTAGCTACTGTATAGAGAATAAATGTGTGAGGGATATAAGGGAAGCCAGTTATGAGGTTGATGAATAGCCTAGGCAAGAGGTGATGAGTAAAGTGGTAGTGGTGGAGATAGAGAGAAATGGACTAATTTGACATATTTTTAGGTAAAATATTCATACTTTGCAGGTGGATTGGTCATTGTGGTTGAGGAAAATAGAGGGATCAAGAATGACTCCTAGGTTCCTAGCTAGAACAACCAGGTGGAGGGAGGTGACATCTACTGAGAAGGAACTTGGAGGAAACAGATTTGGCAGAGAAATTTGGAGTTCTATTTTAGACCTGTTAAACTTAAGATGTCAGCGAGATCCAAGGAGATATCAATCAGGCAGTTGATTGCAAGTTTGGAGCCCAGAAAAAAGGTCTGGGATGAAGATATGAATTTAGAAGTCATTAGCATAATCAGCATTCAAAGACTCCTTTGCAGGTATCAGCATTTGAAGACACAGAAGTAGCTGAGATCATCTAGGAAGAGAAGATACAGAGAGAAGTAAAGGGAGCCAAGAAGAGTCCCAAGGAGCAACACATTTTATGGTGGTGGACAAACAAGAAGAATGAAGAAAGACTTGTGAAAAGAGAGTAAAACCAGAAAAGCATGGAATCAAAACCAACAGAGTCGAGTGTTTCAAGAAAATTGGAGCGGTCAGCTGAGAGTGAAAATGTCAAATATGATAAGGATAGAAAAAATAGTCACTGACGACCTTGACAAGAACAATTTCCGGGAAGTGTGTGTGTGTTTGCATGTGTGTAGGTGCTAAGTAAGCATCAAATAGGCTGAAAATGAATCGGAGGTGTTCTTACTTTAACAGCACATACACTAAAACTAAAACAATACATAGAAAATTGGCATGACTCCTACTTACAGATGACACACAAATTTGTGAAACATTCCATGTTTTCATATGGATTTGACTTTGGGACAACGTTAACTTTTACATATTCAAAAAGAAAATCAAATCTACAAGGATGAAAGGGATCCTAAAACTGCGTATAAATGGAAAACAAATAAACCCAATTGCATATAAATAAGTAATATAAATATTCTGAAGGAAAATAAAAACTAATCCAAATAACAGTATTTTGCATATACACCGTTAATCTAAAAACAAAACAAAATTGCAAACAAAACTTGAACCGGATTTAATAGATTTTTTTAAGTGACATGGATGTAGCAATTCTGAAACTATTCTGTGTATCATAACACTGAACAAATGAAAAAAGACAGTGGTACTATTGGGAGTCAGAGTTCTTTCTCACTGTGGGAAAAGGGAGACACAAATTAGGAATAGGAGAAAGAACCCTGTGGTGCTGGATTGGAATTAGAGTATACTAGTAATGAACACATGATTAAAAATAGCTGAACTATATTAAGTTGCCATTTTTCCTTGTGGCTCTGTTTACCTAAAGGGCCTAAAAGCAATTACATCCCAGTAACAATGAGCATATCTGGTGTTCAGATCTTGGTTTCTAACTACCATTGTCCACTAAAAGGGGAGCTCTTTGAAGAGACCGATGATTTCCAAGGCTAGACAGGAAAAGTACAAGATGAACCTAGAACATCATATTATACCAGAAAGCAAGAAAAGTGCTTAAAAAAAAAAAAAGATTGGTGTGTGTCAAAAGGAACCAGTATGAAGGGACTCTCACTGGATAAATCTGGGACAAGTTGAACATTAAAAAGAATAATGACAGTAATAGATTATAATCTATTAAATAAAATAAGAACCTATGAGTCTATGCTAATGATAATAATTACATAATTTAGGAAGAGAAAAAGGAAAGATATTGCTTACAGAATGCCAACTAGAAAAATGGAGGTAGAATAATGGAGTTATAAAATCACCATTTTGCAACCATTAGAGTAATTAATTTAGACATTGATTAGGAGTTCTATTTTCGACATGCTAAACTTAGGATGTCAGTGAGATCCAAGGAGATATCAATCAGGCAGCGGGTTGTAAGTTTGGAGCCCAGAAGAGGGGTCTGGGATGAAGATATGAATTTAGAAGTCATTAGCATAATCAGCATTTGAAGACATAGAAGTAGTAGAGATTATCAATGATCAGTGAATGTTGAAAACTTTGAGCACAAAGTTGAGAAGGAACAAGATATTTATACAGTCTCAAAATATCTTTCCAAAGATCACTTTATTATTTACATAGGAAAAAATGATAACTTTACAGTGAAAAAACCTGGCAGATGCCATCTTAGCAAACTGATCAAAGTGAACACCATCAATAATGGAACCAAGTGACCCTGTTTTTCCTCATCTTATGCACTGAGGACATACTACCCCATAGGTAGTATGCCTGCTCATTCAAAAAAAAGAGTGAGAGAGAAGAAAAAGAAATTGAATTATAAGAAAACATGGAACAAAACCAAGTAGAGGGGAATTCTACAAAACACTAGACTGTACATTTCAAAAATGTAATTATCATGAATAACAATGAAAGACTGGGTAACTCTTCCAGATCAAAGGAGACTAAAGGGTCATGACAATGAAATGCAATGCGTGATTAGGGATCAGGTACTGGATCAGAGGGAAAACTACTAAATAGGACAGTATCAGGCCAATAAGTGAGCTTTGAGTATGGACTAATTTATATCAATGTTATTGATCCTAAATGTGATCATCATACTGAGAGTGGGGGGAGGAATGCAGGTATATTAGAGAATGTCCTTGCTCTTAGCAAATACCCACTCAAATATTTAGGATATTAGAGGTAAATACTACAAATTAAATGGTTTAGGGAAAAAATATATATATGTGTGCATTCATACATGTAGGTACACACACAGATAAAGAGATTGTGGCAAAACATAAAGTTCTGATGCATTGGGGTAAAGAGCATATAGGAATTATATGTAATATTCTTGCAACTCTTTTGAAAGCGTGAAATTATTTTGAAGTTAAAAGCTTAAAAATAAATTGGAGATGAGGAAATAGAAACAGAATGCAGATAACTCTTTTGAGAAATTTGTCTGTGAAGGGGAGCAGAGAAATAGGTTAGAGAGGGAGTCAAGGTTATAAAATAGCTCGTTAAAGACAGGAGAAACTAGGGGGCGCCTGGGTGGCTCAATGGTTTAAGCCTCTGCCATCCGCTCAGGTCATGATCTCAGGGTCCTGGAGCTTTGCATGGGACTCTCTGCTCAGCGGGGAGCCTGCTTCCCCCTGCTTCCCACCCGCCCCCACCGCCTGCTTGTGATCTCTGTCAAATAAATATTAAAAAAAAAAAAAAAAAAGACAGGAGAAACTAGAACAGATTTATAAACTGATGAGAACAATGGTGAGCCTCAGCACATCCTTTATAAAATAAGAGATTCGATCAAATACACTCACCTCAGGCTCCTCGGACAGTATTTTTTTCCTTACTTAAACTGCAATCAGGAAGACATTTGGGTCACCACTTGAGGGCAGTACAAAATGATGTTACATGTCACTCTGGTGGTTTTACTGCTTCAGCTGCTGAACAAAACAAGGTCCTATATGTGATTTTCTCTCAAATGTGTTGTGTGAAATAAACCTCCTAACCTACCACTTTTTCTAAAGGTTTAAATAAGAAAAGCCCAACAGAATTCATAACATGGGTTTGGGGTGAGGGGAGAAGGGGTGAGAAAGAGGGTCTCATGCTTAGAAAAATGCCTGGCACATGTTCTGAGTTCAATACATAATAAAAGGTTAACAGAAAGATTAGAGTGTGTCAGAGCTAGAAGCAGCCCTAGAGAAGGATGAATCTAGCCCTCTCACTTTATAGACAGGACCTTGGGTCCAGAGGAGGGAAGGGACTTGGCCAAAGCCACAGTAATGTGGTAGAGAATGTAATGTTTTCAACACTTACCTGGTCAGTCTATTAAGACAGAGTTTCTGATACTTTCAAATGACATCATTAATATAGTCTGCAAAGGGACCGACCTCATCGTTGGCACTGATACTGAGTTCCCAAAAAAAACTGTGACCTTCGTTGTGAGACTGTGCCCCTTGCGTCTTTCTCTATCCTGGGAGGATATGACCCTTTACCCTCAACTCTTGTCCACTTCAACTGGTCCTAATGCTCTGGACAAATTAGTTTTGATCACAGCCAACTATTTCCCACCCCTTTCTGGCAGGGCTCTAAGGAGTAACATGTTAGACTTTCCTACCAAAACTGAGGAATGAAGCGGAAGTTGGAAGATGATGTTAGGAAAAAAGTGAATGGGCATGTGGCAGTATATTGTTTGGACAGAAATTAACAGTATCGGTGCAGTAGACTGGAGATGATCTTACAAAGTAAATCAGAAAACTCTAGTGAAACACAAAATTCTAAATATGACATAAGTACATAATGGAGAAGAAAGCAAGTTCAGGCTGATTAAAATACAGAAACAAATATGACTTCTTATCATGCTATTAAGTTGGCTCAATTATGCAGAAGGGCCCCTAACCTCACTGTTACCTAAAGAAAAATGTTCATGCATTAACCTGGCATTTCAAAGATCTTCCTGGCCATGGCCCACTCTCTAGTCTCATGTCCTCCTCCGACCAGTATTTTCTGAACACTTGCTGCAATGGCTTAAGTGCTGTAATATATCAAGCTGTGCTCTCCCCTTGTACCATTTTGAGGTTCACCTCAAATGCCACCTTCTTTGGAAGCTTTCCTTGATTTGACCCTCACATTTACTTGAAGATTCCTTTTAGTCCTTACAGGCATTGCATATACTTATCTTGAGCATTCATTTCTGCCTTATCTTTTGTACTACATAATGAACACTTTGAGGGCAGGAACTGGCTCTTAATACTATTATTCTTTTTAAGGATTGTTTCCATTTATTAGTAATCTACTAATAATCTTTCTTATTTTATCTTATCTTATCTTTCTACCACTTCAGCGCATTCCTTCCAAAACCCCAATTCCAATAGTTCTCTAATTGGGGCCAGTGAGCCTAACACCTCTTGACCATTCCTTACCTATCTTATGTCCTCACTCCTCTTCTTTCCCACTTAAATTCCAAGGTCCAATGTTAAAATCATTCCCTTGATATTTCTTCTTCTCTTTTACTCTTCTTGCTTTGTTATTCTGCCTCACAAAACCCCTACCCTGGGCAATCTAACTCTCCACCTGGTCTACCTTTTGGAACGTGGTTGAAGAAAAACCCACAATACTGTCAGTTGGACTCTTTAAATTCATTACTACTAACTTCAAGCAGCCTTTAGTGTTATCTGATAATTTTATTTTAAAAGCCCATACACGGGGCGCCTGGGTAACTCAGTGGGTTAAGGCCTCTGCCTTCCACTCAGGTCATGATCCTAGGGTCCTGGGATCGAGCCCCGCATCAGGCTCTCTGCTCAGCGGGGAGCCTGCTTCCCCCTCTCTCTCTGCCTGCCTCTATGCCTACTTGTGATCTCTTTCTCTGTCAAATAAATAAATAAATAACTTTAAAAAAATAAATAAATAAAAGCCCATACACTTTCCCTAGATGATTACTTCATATTTTTTCCTGAAACCTCCAGCACCTTCTTTTTTTTCCTCTCTCAGCAGATAACCCACCACCTGCATCATCCATGACTGTGTACTCCAGTCCTCTCAGTGGTACTCTGAAAACCAATCCTTGCCCCTATGCTCCAGCAATTCTCTCTCTTGTCTATATCATCAGTATTTCCCTTTCCAAAGGATCATCCCATCAGCTTTAAAAAGTGCTGTGGTGGAGTGCCTGCGTATCTCAGTCAGTTAAGCATCCAACTCTGATTTTGGTTCAGGTCATGATCTCTGGGTTGTGAGATGGAGCCATTCAGTGGCCTCTGTGCTTAGTGGGCTCTGGAGAGTCTCCTTGAAATTCTCTCCCTCCCTTTGCCCCACTCCCCGACCCCACGCTCATATATACTCTCTCTCTCAAATCAATAAATCTAAAAATAGATTTATTTT